GTGCAGCTATGCACATTCCCATGGTCCACCAGGTTTCAGGGCAGGGAGCGTGCGTAGGCAGCGCCCGCCTGCTCGCGCGGCGGTCGGGGGCGCGGCGCGGCGCCTGGCCCCAGGGCGCACCTGGATCCTGCTGCCTGACACATCCTTCGCGTACGCCATCACGTCGGGCTTGACGCGCCCTGGATTGGGAAGCGGGTTTCGAGATGGGGGAAACTGGGGATGGGCAGTGCGGGCGGCAGACCGGGCGCCGGACAGCTGCTGCTTGGGGGCGTGATTGAGACGGCTTGGCAGGCGAGCAGCGGGGCAGCCCAGGCAGCTGGGCGGCTGCGCGGCGGGAGGGCAGGCTGGCGCTGCTGACCTCGCACATGCACGACTGGGACCAGCGCATGGTGTGCAAGCAGCCAAGCCCGATCCAACACAAGCCAGCAAAGGCCTTGCGGCGGGAGCAAACCCTCACATCCCATCCTAAGCTTTGCCGGCCGCGACATCGTGCCCTCACCCGTGCTGACGGGCAGCTCGTGCGTCGTCATCCCCCGGGAGGAGAAGGACGCAATCTCCCCGCCGTTGTCGACGCCCCCCACCCCGATGACGTCAGCGTTGTCCGCGGGGTTGTTGAGGGTGCCCCACAGGGGCCCGTCGTTGCCGATGGCGCTGACCTGGCGGGTGCAGCGGAAGGCGCGGGCAGAAGTGACGAGCAGCGGGACGAAGCAGCGGGCCAGATCGGTTGTGGGTGGTGGCCGGCCGCCACACGTTGGCATTCAGCGTTGCCGCGTGCTCAGCCCGCAGCAACTACGAAAAAGCAAAAGGGCAGCTCGCCCCAGCGCTCGGTGCGCTCCACAATCGAGCCGCGCGCAACGTGGTCATGACTCACCATGAGTATGCCTGACGCGGTGACCTCCTGGACCTTGTCCACGAAAGGGGCGTCCAGGTAATCGGGGCCGCCTGATTACATGACAAAGGGGCAGGTGAGAAGTTCTTCACGGAAGGGACGCGAGGTCGGGATGCCAGATGAGGAGTGGTCTCGTGTGGGGTGACTGCCGTGCGCCTACCCAGCTTGGCTGGGAGCGGGCCGCAGGCGTGCAGTCAGCCTTACAGTATCGTTCCATCCAGTCCCAGGCCCAGCCTGCCAACACAAACAATTAACCCCACAGCATACACACAAACACATATCAGCACACACACACACACAAAGACACTTCCCAACCCCGCGCACCTATTGAGAGGTTGATGACGTGTACTCCGCTCTCCATGGCGTAGTTGAAGGCGTCCAGGAACCAGCTGGTGTAGGACACCTGGTCGTCAGTGAACACCTGGCCAAAGGGGGGTGAGGGGGTGAGAGTGAGGAGGGTGGGGGTGGGGTCAGCGTTGAGGGCCAAGGTACCAAGACGCTGCCCAGTGGGTTGTGAGGGACTTTGAACAGCAGATGATCTTGAAGAGCTGAGGGGACGGAGGGCAAACGGGCATGCACAGCTGGCATGATCGCGTTCGTGGGTGGCGGTGTGAGCGGGGAGGGGGAGGGGGAGGGTACAATGATGGGTGACC